GTGTGTGTGTGTGTGTGTGTGTGTGTGTGTGTGTGTGTGTGTGTGTGTATCCAACGGCAGGTACTGTCTGCTCTCAGCTGGAAGATACTCTGAAATCTTCCAGTTGAGTGCACATCCCTACCTGTCGAGGGACTTGGCATTGTTTTAGCATAAAGACTCTTAGAGGTCTTACAGTATTCTAGTCACTAAGATTTTTTCTCTCTTAATGCCATATCTAATACTGTGTGTCTGTAATCCCACCACTCAGTAGAGTGCGGCAGAGGGATCATATGTTTTAGGCCACCTAGGTTACAGGTGAGTTTAAGGGGAAAAGGAATGTTTTCTTATGAGCCTAAGACTCTGTGTGGGAGCAACCTCAAGGGGAGTCACAGGTCTTAGCATTGGCTGTCTGTGGCATTTTGATGGCTGTCACCTTACATCTCAGAGGGTTGCTGAGTTGTTCTGGCGGCCCCCATTAAGTGAGATGACAAGGTGGTTTCAGAAATGCTTGGGTAGAATTATAATTGAATGAGGTCACCAAGAGCCACTAGGGTTTCACAGGAAGGTTGGGCATATCCTTTTACCATTAAGGAGCTTACTGGTGAGCTTAGAAAACTGCAGTTTACCATTGGGAAAGAAGAAAGCCCTTAAACAAATGTAAAAAAAAATTTTTTTTTTGAGACTGGGTTTCTCTTACATAACCTTGGCTGTCCTGGAACTTTCTCTATAAACTACTAATTCACAGAGATCCCCCTGCTTCCACCTCCCAGGTTCCGGCGTTAAAGGTGTGTGCCTCCACCACCAGGTCCATGTTCTAATTCTTAATGCTCAACTGGCAAGAATATCCTCTCCTTTTCTGTATCCCCTTAAGTCTGTCTGTCTGTCTGTCTGTCTGTCCTGCCTCAGCCTGACGTGTCAGCTGGGAGCACGTGAATTGTCGGTAGAGTTGGTCTAGAGCTTCCTGTCCTGGGGACGTCAGAAACTTTGAGATGTTTTGAAACATGGTATTTTTGTTTGTTTGTTTTAAATATTTATTTATTAATTATACAGCACTGGTTATACCATGTGGTTGCTGGGAATTGAACTCAGGACCTCTGGAAGAGCAGCCAGTGCTCTTAACCTCTGAGCCATCTCTCCAGCCCAAAATGTGATATTTTTATTCAAGGACTTTTTTTTTTCTGGGAATGTTAACACTTACACGGTGCTTTTGAAGTTATTGTTTGACCAGTGATGTGGGCCTTGCCCAGACTGGGCAAGTTTTGTGCAGCTAAACTGTGTCTCCACCCCCTTTTCTTTGAGACAGGTAGGTCTTGCCCTCATCTCTGTAGCGGTCCAGCCTCCAAAACAGCTGGAGCTTTGCAGGCTTGTGACAGCTTAGGGGACCTTCTAAACTCTTAGTCATTTTGTGGTTTAGGAACTAAAATGTATTGCCTATAACTTTGTTAAAATTAATTTGCTTTTTTTTTATTAACATGAAAACTTCCGGGCAGCTATCGCATTGGCTTTTTAATTGCTGTCATTTTACTTAACTACATACTAAATTTTAAGGACCCTGAAAGCTTTCCAAATGTCTAAGGGAGCAAAGACTTGGCCTGTCAGTATTGTTGGACTAAACAGAGGTTGCTGTTGTGCTCGGGAAGGACACACCAGGTTGGAGTGTGTGCTGCAAGAATTACACCACCCTGATCAACGAAGGGAGGAACATATCCGGGTGCTCAGGGAAAGTACCTGAGAGGGAGAAGTGTAGCCAGGAGGGACCTGCTCCCTGAATGCCAAGGCAAATAGTAGTTCTGGTATTGAGGACGGCTAGCCAAAGGCTGCGGTGGGGACAGGCTTTGCAGAGCCGAGGGTCAGAATAGAAGGTGGCTGGGAGTGGATAGTCTGGGATCATGCAGATTAGCTCAGAGTGGATGTGTGGCATACACAGTGTATCTCAAAGGAGCGTGTTTGTACGGCGGCAGAAGGCAGGAATTGCCGGCGCCCTCTGCCCTCCATGACAGGATGCACTCTCAGCTGCTGAGCCTTCTCCCGGACGTCTTTCAGTAGTGTTTTGTTTTAATGATGTTGTTCAGTTTTCTTCATGTAGAATAGGCATCAGGTATATATTCCCTTTGAGCCTTTCTTGAGCCTGCCTCTTGGTGGCGTTTTAACTGAGTCTCCTAAGATTTTCTCTGACCACCGAGTAAAGAACTTACTTCTCTGACCACCGAGTAAAGAACTTACTTCTGTCGTCCATTACTTAAGACCCTTGCGTCTTAGTTCCTGTGTGAAGACACACCATGACCGAAGCCACTTATAAAAGAAACACTTAGTTGGTGGCTTGCTTACAGCCTCAGAGGGTTAATCCATTGTCATCGTGGCAGGGAGTGTGGCGGCAGGCGTGGTGCGGGAGAAAGAGCTAAGGGCAGCAGGCAAGGGGAGCAGGGCAGTCTGGTTATGTGAGCCTGTGGGGGTCCTTCTAATTCAGGACCATGCCTAGTGATTTATTTCCAGAATAGTTGATACAGTTCAAAAATCATTTATTCCACGTGTAAGCTTTTCTGTACAAAAAAAAATACTATTTAAGACTAGAAATAGTTTGTTCAGACATGGAGATGAGAAAGGGGCCAGAGAAAAGAGGATAAGAGTTCTGTATTTGAAAATTCTATATCTGAGGGTCAGAGGCAGGATGGTCTCTGTGTGTTTGAAGCCAGCCTGATCTATATAGTGAGTTCTGAGTAGCCAGGGCTACACGGATAGAACTTGTCTCCCCCCCCCAAAAAAAATGATTACTTTGCCTAAATTTTACCTCCAAATAGAGAGTGAAGAAATTGGCAAAAGAAGACGTGTCTTAGTTAGGGTTTCTATTGCTGCGACGAAAAACCATGACCAAAAAGCAAGTTGGGGAGGAAAGGGTTTATTTGGCTTACACTTCAGCATTGCTGTGCATCACTGAAGTAAGTCAGGGCAGGAACTCAGATAGGGCAGGATCCTGGACACAGGGGCTGATGCAGAGGCCGTGGAGGAGTGCTGCTTACTAGCCTGTTTCGCCTGGCTTGGTCAGCCCACCTTCTTAGAGAGCCCAGGACCACCAGCCCAGGGATGGCTCCACACACATCATGGGCTGGGCCCTTCCTCATTGATCACTAAATGAGAATGTGCCTTCCAGCTGGATCTCATGGAGGCATTTCCTCAGCTGAGGCTCCTTCCTCTCTGATGACTCTAGCTTGTGTCAGGTTGACACAAAACCAGCCAGCACAAAATGTAAACAAGTTTTGGAATGGGATGTTAAGTTATGTGCACTGTGTTCTTAGAAATCTGGAGTGTGTATTCCAATGGAAGGAGCAATGATTCCATTTGCGTTTGTGGTGTAAAGCCCGATCGTGTGTGCACTGATCGGGTCTGCGGATTTGTGGATTAGGAGTCCATGTGGCTAAGAATAGGAGGTGGCTGAGTGTGGGTAGAGTAGGATTATTCCTTCTGTTGAAATGGGGTGATGTGCAGCTGTGATTGGAAAGAGGGGTGTTGAGGCAGGAGGATTGAGAGTTCAAGGGCAGTTTGGTTTGCATAGCAATGGATAGTGTCAAAAAAAAAAAAGCAAAAAAAAATGTGTTTCTTTTCCTCTTGTATATAGAAATTTTTGGAAGAGAGAAGTTTTAGTCTCCCCCTGCTGGATGTGATTGGTAGAATTCAAAATTTCAGGTTGAGTGTGTGTGTGTGTGTGTGTGTGTGTGTGTGTGTGTGTGTGTGTGTATGTGTTTATGGTGTTGAAATACATATTACATATAAATTTGCCATCTTAAACTCTTCTTGGGGGGATGACTGTAGGTAAATTATGTAGCGCAGGCTAGCCTGGAACTCGACATTATATAGTTAAGCTGGCCTAGAACTCAAGATCCTCCTGCCTCTGCACCTCTAGTAAGGAGGGTACGGGAATGCACCATCTTGCCTGGCATGTTTATTTATTACTGATTCACTCACTGGGGGTGTGAACATCTGAGTACAGGTGTGCAAGCATGTGCTGTGTGAGTTTGTGTCAGAAGTCAGCCTTGGGTATCGCTCACTTCCTGAGATAGGGTCTTTCCCTGGGAGGTAGATCTCTCTGAGCTGGCTAGGATGGCTGGCCAGTAAACCCCAGGACTTCTCCCGTCTTCCTCCTCAGTGCCAGGATTTCCAGTGCACATTAGGAACCTAACTTTTCATATGGGTTCTGACTTCCCCCAGCCTCTCTGGAACTCCTCGTAAGTGGATAGCCCACAGTTGCGTTCTGAGAACTCGAGCCGGGACTCTCACATTTGAAGTTTGTTTTCCTTGCAGCTTCGCTCAGCAGCCTTTTGATCACACCCTTCCCGTCCCCAAGCTCCTCCACGTCCTCTTCCAGCAGCTATCAGCGCCGCTGGCTTCGAAGTCAGACGACGAGTTTGGAAAATGGCATCTTTCCCAGGAGGTGAGTTACACGTTCCTGCTGGCTGCGGAAAACGCTACTGTAAACAACGTAGGAAACCTGGCGGGGTTATCCCAGGTTGTCGGGAGAAGTCCTGAAACCTTGTGATTAGCCCCAGCTTAGCCTGGAAGTTTACAAGTTCAATTGTTAGGGAGGAGATAGTAAATTAAAGCTAAGCAAGCTGGCCTGGAATACAATATGTAGTCCAGACAGGGCTTAAACTGGCCTTGCTTTGCCTCTGCTTTCTAAGTGTGAGGATTATGAGTGTGTTGACACTATACCCAGCTGGGAAAAAAAAGTCTTTTTGTTTAGAAGTTACTGGAAATGCCTGGATTTCTACACAATGTATATGCTAGATTTGGTGGTAACTTAAATAATGCTCTCTCTCTTATGTAGCTATAAGTAATGAAGATGGGACACATCACTTCCCCTGGTTACAGTGATTCCAATGTGGTATTTAAGGCATGATCCCTTTGTGCCACTTAAATTCTTAGACTAAGCAGGCATGAAAGTGAGTATGTGCGGCGCACCACACCCCGTCTGCGCTCTGTGCGCCGCCCTACAGTTCGTGAACTGGGCAAGGGGCTGGAGATCGAAACACACACACTCACAGAGAGGGACAGGGACACGGGTCATCCTTGAAGACAGAATGCCCCCTCTATTGTGTCCAGGGGCAGCTTATATAGGGATAGCCACGCCCCAGCCAAACACACCAGAAACCATTCCCCTGCCATTAGGAACTCCTGAGGGTCTCGTGCTCAGAGCAGCTGTAGGCACTCAGATCAGGGGAAAACAAGTTGTTTACAAGAAATTCAGGATCTGGGGGTTCACAGCTCCCAACCAGTATACATAGAAATAGCCTCAAGGTATTATTCCCTACCTTTGTTTCGGTTTGTTTTTGAATCTGAAGTTTATTGGGTTGTGTTTGGTGTATAGACTTGATGCTACACGAGTAGCGTCCAGGCCCTTCTTTTTGTAGCTCTTAAAATGTAAAGGGAATTCTCACGTGTCACTAAAATAACTCATGTCAGTTAATTGAGTTTGTGATCACTGTGTTTGGAGAATCTGTGAAGATGGTCCAGCCATGAGCTTGTGTTGTGGTAGTTTATAACCAGGAGGGAGGAGGACAGTAAACAGGTGTCAGGAAACATCGGTACATGTTAAATAAATACCATGAAGGAGTGCGGTACATTGGGACTCAGGAATAAGAAACATGGTGTTGGGGGGGGGGGCTGGAGAGATGGCTCAGCGGTTAAGAGCATTGCCTGCTCTTCCAAAGGTCCTGAGTTCAATTCCCAGCAACCACATGGTGACTTACAACCATCGATAATGAGGCCTGGTGCCCTCTTCTGGACTGCAGAAAGAATACTGTATACATAATAAACAAATAAATAAAAATAAAAAATAAAAAAATGAAATTTCTAAAAAAGAAAAGAAAAGAAAGAAACATGGTGGGTGGGTGGGTACTCGTGAAGGCTGATGAGAGCCCTGTGGAAACATAAGCTGAGCAGTGTGGGCTGGAGGCGCCTCTTCTGTTCAGATCCCTAGAGAGCGACATAAAAGCTCACAGCTGATCCTTCACTGAGCCACCGCCCTTTAGTGCATGGACTTCAGGTGGACTGATGTATGAGGTCATGGCGTTTGCCCTGTGACAGAGCACGTTAACTAGGCCTCGGGTGCGTCTTCCTCTGCATCAGGTTACTGGAGGTTCAGCCTCAGTGTTATTAGTGGGGTAAAACTGGATGAGCGAGTCAAGTGGCCAGACAGGACTTAGAATATGGCCACAGATTAACATTGGCGGTGCGTGCCTGTAGTCCTAGCCCTTGGAGGTTGACCCAGTGAAAACCTGCATTCAGGAACAGCCTGGGCTACACAGAGACCCTGTCCCAAAAAAAAGCAAAACTTGGGCTCTCAAGATGGCTCTGTGGTTAAGGCATCAGCAGCCAAACTTAATGGCCCAGGTCTGAGTCTCAGGATCCAAACAGCGGAAGAAAGAGAACCAAATCCCAGAAGTTCTCCTTTGACTTCCAGATGTATGCATGGCAAATTACACAAGCCATATTACACATACAAAATCAAAATGATATTTTTCTTTGAGACATGGTCTCTACATAGTCCTGGCTATCCTGGAACTCACTCTGTAGACCGGGCTGCCCTCAAGCTCAGCATGGACCCACCTGCCTCTGCCTCTCAAGTGCTAGGATTAAAGTTGTCTGCCGCCATTCCTGGCGTGATCGTAGATAAGATACTGGCCAGTGTGACTGACTGCTATCCTTACAGCACCATTTCCGTCCTCCCTGTCGCTCTGTAGTGTAGCTTCTGTGGTGTGAAGAGGTGGATGCAGAAGGCTGTCCGTGGAGGCCTCTCTTCACTGCAAGTACTTTTAATTCTTTCAGATTTAGGTCTGAAGCTGTCTGTAGCATGTCCGAACCCAGAACACAAACTGAATGGAGACCTGGCATGGGGAGCTGTGGGTAGTTCCTGAGCCTCCACCTAAAAAAGTATCTTACCTTCGGATAGCCTGGTCACGTAGTCGGAACTGGCTACGTAGTTTCTGGGACCATGCAGTGCAAAGCGAAACTGCCCAGCCCCTCCTCGTAAGGCAAGGAGAATGTTAGTGTAAGTGCTAGCGTGCAAAGCTCGCATTTAAAAATAATCTAACTTAAAATATAATAATATAGTATATAGTATAATATATAAAATATAAATTATAAAAATAACATTTTGTGTCATAATTTTTAATAGGGTATCAAACAATATTCTGATTCATTGTTAGTTTTTTTTTTCTAAGTATTTATATCCCATTCTGTTACTGTGGCTCACATGGAAAGGGCGCACAGTAGTTAGGTTGTAGATCTCAGCCCCTTCTGGAGGAAGATGCTGTTGAGGGTACAGTAGCCTGCCTCCATCTGCTGTTACTTCCTCCCCCCACCCCCATTCTCGTTCTGTGTTCTGAGACTGGCTGACCTGGAGCCTGAGTGTTGGGGCTACAGGCACCCCCGCCCACCACTCTTGGTTGAGGATTGCTTCTTACGCTAGTGACAGAATCTCACTGTTTCTGGCTTTGAGAGGAAGTGCACAGTAATTAAAAACATCCTCCTGCCCTACGTGGCAGAGTACACCTTTGATTCTGATACTCAGGGGTTGTGGCAGATGGATTTCTATGACTTCCAGGCTCAAGGTTGGCCTGCATATACGTGGCAGGTTTTACTCGGGTCAGGGATACATGAGACCATATCAGAAAAGCAAAAAAAAAAAAAAAAAAAAAAAGATAAAACAAAATCCTAAGAGAGTTGTACGTAGTTAGGATCGATAGTTCTACTCTGGCTTCAGGCTGCCTCATTGTGCCAGGTGGCAAGCTTGCAGTATTAGACACCTAGGTGGGGGTGTTACACATCTTGCAGCTGGTAATAGTTCTGCTATCTGTGAGGATAAAGGCGCCTCGGGCATTTTATCTCTTGGAAAAAAAACCGCCCCAAATCCCAAAGGAACCAGGCATGGAGACATGCCCCCTTGGAAACCTGTTGATTAGTAAATTGAACGAAATTTCCAATGAAATGTTCTTAGACGTACCATATTATCTGTTTCATAGTTTCAATGTAAGTTCAAATCTGACCTCAGCAATAATTGTGCTAAATAGCCCTGATATCAGTTGTAGTTTGTCTATATGAGCTAAAATGATAGTTTTTATTTTAAGTGATTATGATTTTGAAGTACTTATATATATATATATATATATCAATATATTTAAGTGTAACAAAAGACAGCTTTGTTTTGTTTGAGGTAGGATCTAGCTCTGTAGCCCACAGTAGCCTTGAACTCGTGGTCCTCCTGCCTTGCTTTCGTGTGACAGGGTTAAAAGCGTGAACTGCTCTACCCCCTCTACTTGATTTCTCTATATGGAAAAGACCTAAGTGTGCAGCCGTGGTTCTCCCGTCCTGAAACATGGGGGCTGATCTGTGCTTCCATCTTTCCCGTGGAACCGCGGCCGTCACAGTGCCTCCGAAAGCATGAGCTGGGGCTGGTGGGGCAGGCGAGGTGGACACCTGCTTACTGCTGATCATTCAGCAAGCCAAGCATGGCAGACAGATATCCTGGGTCCTAACCTTAGCATCCTTACCAGAGAGCTGTCTGTTCCCCAGGCAAGCGCTGCTACAGTTTCTGTGTTTATAAAACAGCTCGTGTAGCTTACCTGGTGACCTGGAGAGAGACTGTGGAGAAGTGTCTGGTATATGAGTGAATTCTTTGACACATGCTCAAGCATCCCTTATTGTGGGATAATACCTAATAGATACATAAGGTTCTCTATGATGTATTCCAGTTTGGATAGTTGACCCAGGACTACAGACTGAAGCTGGGGAGCTTTAGATGTTAGTGGAGGGATGTAGCTGGTGAGATCTGGTTTCTGCTCGGCGAGGAAGGATTCACAGCAGTTCAGCAGATGGCACTCTCTGCTGGGCTTAAAGCAATAGCCGAGCTGGCCGTCCGTGTGGAGACAGTAGAGACGGAGGTGAAGAATAAATAGAGCCCAGTGTTGATCACAGTTCAGCTATTAAAGACCACCTGGACTCGAGGAGGAATGGAATGTTGATACAAGTGGTTTACTTTTGAGAAAGAATAGAGCAGTCAGCAAAGAGGTTTTGCATTATAGCTCAGAAGAACATTTTGTTGCTTTTTTTTTTTTTTGAAGCATGGTCTTGCTATCCCAACCTGTCCTTGAACTTGAGTTCAGATCTACCTCTTCAGTTTACCTCAGCCTCTTGGGATGGGACTTACAGATGTGTACCGCCATGCCTGGACCGAAGTCAGCTGGTGCACAGAAACAAGCTTTTAATACAAGGACCTCGCAGCAAAGACTAGGAGCCTTTTAAAATATCCGGTCTCTTCCCTCGTGAAAATGTGACATTCTGTGTGATTCTCAGAGCTTTTTCTGGTGATTGGGATCGGGAGGTTTCTGAGTTGGTAGATGGGTGGGATACTTGGTACATTCACACGACACCCACAGATCGGGAGCTGCCATGTCCCTCATCCCCTCATCCCACATCCGAGGGATGCTAAGGAATGCAGAAACGCATCCCTCCGAGCCTAGAGCAAGGCGCTTTTCCTTTTAAACAGACCTCCTGACCATGCAGCGTGGGTGTGCAGATGTTAGTAAGATCCAGATACAGTTTAAAGCTTGCAGAATATTCTAGACTCGGAGTAGAGCCTAAAAGATGGTATAGTGAGTGGCCGAGAGAACATGTGTCGCATGCTGTTGTGCGGCAGGCTAGCTGCACACATTTGCAGCAGCCTCCGACCTTCGCTGCGGCGCCTTTGGAGAACAAAGCAAACGCTCTCCTTTGCACTCTGTGTTTGTAGCTGTGCGGTCGCTTGCCTGGCTTTTCACAGCGTTGAAATCAGAGTTGTGGTTCAACCAGAATTGTATTATCCCTAAGACAGATCGGATACGTACTGAGAATTTATTGGCTCTGTAGCTCTTTTATTACAGAAGCTGCCTCTCAGAAGGATCATAAGTTCATTGAGATCTTGCCTGGACCCAAAGAGTGTTGAGCCTTGCTACTTAGTGGCTTTTCCCAGAGTGCTCAGTCAGTTAATCACTTGGCTTCATCAGAGCGTTTAAAGGAGTAACTTCATCTGCTGGCTTTCATAGCCTTGGGGAAGGTGCCCGTAAGCGTTGAAGCCTGATGTCTGTGTAAACAGAATACTCCACAGGACCGGTCCTCTGAGTGTCTCATCTCTTCAGGCCTATCAACAAAAACCAAGGACCGAATTCATTTTATTTATTTGTTTGATACAAACAAACGTGAGCCAGAGGGCCTGTGTAGACATCAGAGGGCAGCTCTCAGGCGGCGGTTCTTGCCTTCTACCTTGTTGAGGAGGCTTTCTCCTTGTTTCTCGTGTGTGTTGTGTTCTAGGCTGGCGGGCCTGTGAGCGTGTCCACCAATTCTTCTGCCCCTGCCTCCCACCTCACGGTGGGAGTGCTAGGATTGCAGGCGTGCGGCTGCCACACCCAGCCTCTTCTGTGAGTCTCGGGGACGGAACTCAGGTCACCAGGCTTGTGCAACAAGCACTTTTTATATCCTCAGCGTCTCTCTAGCTAGAACCTGCGTTTTGATTGAGCTGGTGTCTCGCACTCCTAAATACAGCTGAAAGGACGAGAGGCCAACGTTTAAATAGCAGTGGCTTTCATTTGAACTTCTCGATGGCAGGGTGATAATGAGTGGTAAGTGGTCCTTCAGTCTTTGACAAAGGAGTGAGAAGATGATGGGGTGAGGCAGGTGAAAGACCAGCTCAGTTCTCAGCGTCTGCCTTGCTTCCTGAGGTATCGTCACACGGCAGGACAGCTTACCTTCAGTGTTTCACTGATCCATGGCCGCTTCAATTTCAAACTTAATTTTCCTCCAGGTCAGCGGATGAGACGTTTAGCTTGGCTGACGAAGCCTCTAGCTCTAACCCAGCCATAGTGAGAAGGAAGAAAATTGCCGTCAGCATCATCTTTTCCTTGTGCGAGAGAGAAGCAGCGCAGCAGAACTTCCAGGACTTCTTCTTCTCCCACTTCCCCCTGTTTGAATCTCACATGAACAGGCTGAAGAGTGCCATTGAGAAGGTGGGGATGGGGGACGTACGTGCTCAGGGGCACAACGTGTGCAGGGGGTAGGGTGCAGCTCAGCTCAGGGGTAGAGCGCTTACACAGCGTGTGCAAGGGATGGGGTGCAGCTCAGGGTTACAGCGTGTGCAAGGGATAGGTTGTAGCTCAGAGTTACAGCATGTTCATGGGATGGTGTGCAGCTCAGCTCAGGGGTAGAGCGCTTACACAGCGTGTGCAAGGGATAGGGTGCAGCTCAGGGGTACAGCGTGTGCAAGGGATACAGCGTGTGCAAGGGTTGGGGTGCAGCTCAGGGGTAGAGCAATTACACAGCGTGTGCAAGGGTTGGGGTGCAGCTCAGGCGTAGAGCACTTACACAGCGTGTGCAAGGGTTGGGGTGCAGCTCGGGTAGAGCACTTACACAGCGTGTGCAAGGGTTGGGGTGCAGCTCAGGCGTAGAGCACTTACACAGCGTGTGCAAGGGTTGGGGTGCAGCTCAGGGGTAGAGCAATTACACAGCATATGCAAGGGATGGGGTGCAGCTCAGCTGTACAGTGTGTGCAAGGGTTGGGGTGCAGCTCAGGCGTAGAGCACTTATACAGCGTGTGCAAGGGTTGGGGTGCAGCTCAGGCGTAGAGCACTTACACAGCGTGTGCAAGGGATGGGGTGCAGCTCAGCTCAGGGGTAGAGGAATTACACAGCGTGTGCAAGTCCCTGGGGTCCATTCCAAGCAAACACTTAAATAAGAAAATGAAAGGTAGTAAGATTGCAACCTACTGGCAAACGGAAGATATTTGCAGCCAAAGATGGCACCTGTCTGTGTGTGTCAGATGGCCTGCATAAATAATAGTCAAAATGTGCCCTGGAATGATGTGCCCTGAAATGACGGGCCTTGGGATTTTTAAGGCTGGAGATGGGACACTGGTTGCTGTAGGGAAGGAAATTACTGCTTTTTGATGAGGGGGACGCACCATTGCTATGTGTGTTTAAATTTATTATAACATCATTGTTCATTAATGAGCCCTAGCTGGTCAGTTACAAAGGAATTTCTTCTCCGAGAGTAATTTGGCTCACTCTCTCCCATCAAGGCCATGATCTCCTGTAGGAAGATCGCAGAATCAAGTCTCCGTGTCCAGTTTTATGTGAGCCGTCTGATGGAAGCTCTGGGAGAATTCAGGTAAGGTACGAGGTTTGAAACTCCAGCAGGACATGATGAGCAATAAATAGTATTGCCAGCTGCTGTGAGCTGCTCGCTCTCAGAAGACTTAGGGGCTGGCGGTTTGTAGTCATTTGAGAGTCTCCACCCGTGAGGACAGGTTGAGTAACACAGCCCCAAGTAATCTCCACTGTGCCTGGCGGTTCTTTATCAGATTAGTTTTTTTTCTTTGTTGTGTTGTTAGGTTTTCTCGTTGTTTTTAGTTTTGTGTTTATTTTGAGATAGAATCTCACTGTGTTGTCCTGACTGGCCTAGAACTGTCTACTAGACTGAGTTGGCTTTAAACTCATAGAGATGCACTTGCCTCTGCCTCCTGAGTTCTGGGATTAAGGCGTGTGTTACCACCCCTAGATTAATGGCATTATTTTCATTTGAACTAGAAAGTAATTTTAAAGGATGTCGTATAAGTCAGTTCCATGATCTTACGTCTATCATCTCATGAATGATGAAGGGGAAACCCCTCTACCCTTTTCACAGATGGAGAAGCTTGGGTTCAGGAGTGCTTCTTATCCCCTAGAGCCCATGGAGACAATGTGTGCATTTGTGGAGACCTAGCTCTCAACTGCCAGGGCGGGTCTAGTGCACATGCGATGCCTGAGGTCCGTGCCCTTGTCTGGATAGCAAATCTTACTGACTTCTGTGTCCACCAGTCACCTATGGATGCTGTAGTTCTTGCCCTCAGAGTGTGGGTAGCAAGGTATTGTGCTCCAAGTATGGGGATGTCTCCCGCTGTGCTCATCTGAGTTTCTCAGAGCCAGTCTCTCAGTGGGGAATGAAATCTCACGGCACAGCCGTTGGGAGTAAATGATCTGAATAAGTGAGTGCTGAAAAAAAAAATTACATTTCTTAGAATGTTAGACCATTTTTTTGCGGATGGGCTCATGGCTGCTTGAAGCAGTGTAACCACTTTTTCTGAGCTCTGGCTGCGGAAACAACTGCTTAGGTTGTTTGGTTTTGAGAAGTACTGTGGAGGTGATGGGTGAGCTCTCTCGTTGGGGCAGCTCTAGGTTTGCAGACGGCCTTGCAGGGGTCATTCTCAGCGCTGGCTTGTGCTTTTGAGGGTCTGGATGCTGATCTGAACACTAGTCTCTCAGGGGTAAAAACCGGAAAACAAAAACCTAGAGGTTGTGTATGTAGAAGTCGTTTACTTATTTTGACCGTGAGCCCTCCAGAATCAGACAAAATAATGTACTAATATTTAGAGACATGAGCGTTTTGATTGTTTTTTGTATTTTTTGAAATAGGGTCTCACTATATAGCTTTATCTGTTCTGGAACTCACTCTGTAGGCCAGGCTGGCCTTGACCTCACAGGGATCCACCTGCCTTTGCCTTCTGAGTGCTAGGATTTAAAAGTGTGTGCACCATGCCCAGCTGAGACGCAAGTTTCGAGTTTTGTAGGTAAATCCTAGACCTTGCTACCTACCACCCCTCTCAGGTAGCCTCCATGTCTTCCCCACCCCTACACTCTTAAGTGGACACTCTTTGATTATTATTGTTATGTGCAGTTTGGGGTCACAGCTTCTTCACTCGGTAAATACTGTTTTTTGAGGTGTGAAGTTTGTTTGTTTTCTAGTTTTTGTCGAGGAAGCTTTGTGTTCTGTCCTGATTGCTTTAGGCACAGGGCTACATGGCCTAATCCAAGTATGCTTCTTCTGACTTGATTTGGGAGAGGTCTGATTTACTCATTGGGTGCTGGATTGACCTTTTCACTCAGTGGAGGGCCTGAGTATGTTTTACGCTCTAGACAAATACATGTGCGCCGTGTAGCTTATAATAGAGCCTGCCATGCCTGAGTTCCCATCTTTTCTTTGCCATTAAATATGCATGTGCCAAAGCCCTCTTCTGACTTCTATGGATGCACGCACACACACACACACACACACACACATACACATTATGTATGTATGTATGTATGTATGTATGTATGTATTTATGTATATACACACACATCTTGTGCACATTACCCAACCTTTTTAAGCTTCTGCATTAGAAGTTGGCATGTATTATGGTGAAGAAGAGCCATTGTGTAGTTTCTCATCTTTGGGTATCTGATTTAGAAAGTCGTCGCATTAATTAGAAATCGGTAGAGCTGAGTACCTCAGTCTTATTTTCCACGTTGCGTGTGCTTTCTTTTCATGATGGTTTTGTGCCCCACCCCCCATTCCTTGTAGATTGTCTCACTCTGTAGCAGTGGCTGCCGTACACTCTTAGTTCTGGGCATCTGTCTCTAATATGCTGGGATTATGGGTAATCCCAGCTCTTGGTCTGCGTTTTTTTACTAGGAAAATGCTCTGTGGAGCTGGGAATGTAACTCAATGATAGAGTGGTTGTCTAGTGTGCAGAAAGACCAGGGTGTGATGCTCAGTACCACTAAAACAAAATAAATAGTATCTAAAAATGACTGTATGGTGTCCTACAAACCTGTACAGTTTGTGAGGTTTTATGTGTAGATAGAAAAATAAATTTTAAAAATGATTTTAAATTCTGGAAGAAGGACATTATGAAATTTTTTTACTTTCATATGAATTTCATGTGTGTGATGCTTGGGATGTGCATTGTAGGCTTGCTATATCACTGAGCCATAAATTGTTTTCTAAATGAATGTTTTTATGCCAGGGATGTTGTGTGTTTTCTCGTAAGGGTTTATATACCACTACCTAACTTTGCTATTGTCTTGCAGAAGCGCTCATAGATAATTTGTAAGTAAAGAAGCATTCATGTGTCCCAATCAAACTTTATTTACAAAAATGGTAGTAATTTGTGTGAGCCATAGTTTGCCAACTTATGTTAATTTATTTTTTAATTCCTTAAGGAGAACACATATCCAAATTATTCTTTGATACTAAGATACCCAAAACAACTGTGTTTGTCCCTTCTCTCTTCCTGTAGAGGGACTATCTGGAACTTGTATTCTGTTCCAAGGATAGCCGAACCAGTATGGCTTACCATGATGTCGAGTACGTTGGAAAAAAACCAGCTCTGCCAGCGCTTTCTCAAGGAATTTATACTTCTGATCGAGCAGGTCAACAAAAACCAGTAAGCATAACTTGTGGGCAGATCCCAAGCCAATGTGTGCTCTGCACAGGCCATGGCTGTGTTCTGTATTTGACTAATTTTGGTGTGCTTTTGTCCGTCTTTCCAAGGTTTTTTGCCGCCTTACTGACTGCAGTGTTAACCTACCACTTGGCCTGGGTACCAACTGTCATGCCTGTTGATCACCCCCCCATTAAAGCCTTCTCGGAGAAGCGTACCTCTCAGTCGGTGAACATGCTGGCCAAAACACATCCGTACAATCCTCTCTGGGCCCAGCTGGGTTAGTACTAATCTGACTGCTCAGAGGATATATCTGATTAAATGGGGGGTGGGCAAGCGGGGTCCTGGAAATGATGGCTTGTACTGGCTTTCCAGCCCAGTCGTTCAAGGATTTTTCTCTCGTGGGAATGAGACTGATCCACAGATTCAACTTTACTGGCTACTGCCCTCACCCCTCTCCCTCACTGGTAGCTTTGTTTTGAGGCAGTGTTGGTCAACTAAGTTCTCCACTTCGCAGAGGCTGTTCATCCTTCCTTGGTTTCCTTAGCTACTGACTGACTGGGCCAGATGATTCTCTGTGGCTGAGTTGTGATGGGGCAGAGGAGGGCTGCCTCACGTCTCGTAGGTTGCTCAGCCAACTCTTGACGTCCATTCGTTAGATCCCCGTACAGTTCCTCTCTGCCCAAAGTTACAACCATCCAAATGTCTCCCAACATTGCCAAGCTTCCTTGTGGGGAGGGGCAACCGAAGGAACTCGAGTGGGAACCACTGCCTGTAGGATAGAGTGGCTGGGGAAAGAGAAGACCAGGGGAACGCGGCACAGTCTAATGTCACCACCTTTCTGGCTACGCCATACATCTGACGTCTTGTCTGTCACTTCTTCAACCCATATGTGTAGACTGGGTATAGGTACCTAGCGCTTCATAGGCGAGACTGGGGTTGCATGCCTGGTCTCGTTCTCAGCGAGCGTCATAGTGACAGTGATTACATGACATTCTGTCCTGCCCGTGTGCTGAGCTCAGCCTCTCGGACGCAGTAGTCCACCGCCTACTGGACAAGGCAGATCCATGACCAGTGAGAACACTAGCGCGTAGAGAAGGGTGGACAACTGGGTGACATGGGTCCCGAAGCCTTGCGTTTGGTCCCTTTCTGCAGGCAGTCACTTAGCTAGCCCTCCTGGGCCTCTTCTGTGTGTTAAGGATAGAACCTGGCTGGGGCCTCATATGTGGCTAAGCAAGCACACATCAGACGGGGTGGGGTCAGGACTTGTGTTTGCTGTGAGATACAATCGGTTGTACAAAGCAAGCACCTTTGCTCTGGTGCTGTTACCTGAAAAGTCCATTGTGGGGCGTTTACAGAGGGAGAAAGAGGATGAAAGACGTTTTCCAGGAAGGCTTAGCTGAGGGGATCTCCAAATGGTAATTGTTAGGAACAACAGCGGGCTGAGGGAAACACTCTAGTCCTAGCAAACAGGGTGCTTCAGAAACTGTAACCGTAACACACAAACAATGTTGCTAGTACTGTTTACACATGCTAATTGATGAGATTCTCACCCCTGCCTGTCACAGGTGTCCTTATTTGTTAGCAGTAAATTACTTTCTTGTCCTTGTGCCTATGAGACACAAAAGGAGATACAAGTCTCATAGGGTAAGTAATAGGTGTGCTTTTAATGAACTAACTAAAGAAGTCATGGAGAGTAAAACCATGTTACGTGACTTGTAATCCCAGGGTTTGGGAGACTGAGGTAGGAGGATTATTATGAGTTGTAGGCTAGTCTGGGCTATTTAACCAAGGCATTGTCCCCAAAAAAATAAATAAATAAAGTGCAGTGCTTGATATTTTGATGCTTGGTACAAGGAACTGTTCAAAACTTGCCACCTCGCTCAGGGATGAGTAGGTCTTCTTGAGGACATATGTTGTCTTCCTCAACAGGAAGACATCTTTTCCAAAGTGCATCGTTTCCTCCTGAAGGGGAATGGGCTGGATATTAAGGAAATAGTGTGTCCTGGTGTAGAGTCGATTTTCAAACAATGGTAATGAAGCCATGTGCATTTAATTAGATAAATGTATTTAGACTCAGGGATTGAGCTCCCTGGAGCCACTGATTCCGTGTGTTCAGTGTAACAAGGCAAAAATCCCTTCTTGTGGGCTTGTTCATTGCTTTTCTTTGGAGATAGACACCACTGAAGGTCTTCAGTTCTCTCTTCTTGAGAAGACGCCCTCCAAGGTCCGGGTGTTGTTGGGAGCTGGTTGAGGAGGGGATGAATGAAGCCTTGAAGGCATTTCCGTGATCAGAGGATGCACTCAGCTCTTTCTGTGTGCCATGGGAGGCAGGACAATGCAGGCTCTGGGGCCTACACAGCAGTGCAGGTGTGATTTTAGTCTAGTTTCCTCAGTTCCGTCTTGAATGATTTCAGCCTCTTGCTGCGAGCTCATCAGGACAGTCCGCATCTCTTGTCCCTCCTGTGCCATTTCTCAGCCGCAGGGTTTCCACGTTAGGGATACTACCCACCCGTGGCCTGTGGAAGCCATTGGTGGGTAGAAAAGTGTTTAAACAGGATAGCAGACGTTCTGTAAAATGTGAGTTTTAGGACGTGGTGTCTCAGTATAGAATTTGCTATAGGTGAGAAACCTGCCCTTGAGCTGAGTGGGCTTTCGTCTGTTGCCTTCAAGGTCTGGACAGTTCCTCTGCAGCAGGCCTGCTCGGAGTTCATTGATCTTCCCGAAGACACAAACTTAAACGGCATGGATGACATGACATTAGATTTTGGGGAGCCCTTGTTTTAAAATCTATTTCTGCTCCAGTCTCCCTGCCCCTCTTCCAGAATCGCTGCTGTGTGCATCTCGCTGTGCTTGGTGAGGCCCACAGACAGTAGAATTGTATGTATCTTCCTTCATTTCTATCTCTCCTCGCAGAATGGGTAATCCTACCTGACCTGTTTTCAAACCTGCCATCTCTTTTCTTCACCCTGATGAGATCTGCTCTTCATGGGGTCTAAGGATCAAATGACTATTAGGCTTGACGCCTGACTATCACAAACAGGTTAGATCTATTCATATTCAAGATACCTGTAAGACTTCCCATTTTATAGACAAGGAAGCTAAGTCTTCAGGAGGGTGGGAGTGAAACTTACCTGTGTGTTTTCGAGCATTATCTTTTGTTTGCAGCAGTTAGTTATTTTCTGCCCAAAAAAACAAAGGTAATAAACACTTGTAAGTCTAATCTAACAATGAGAAAGTGTACATCTTCTGTTTCTCCTCCTCCCTGCAGCAAAGGTTGCCCGCCTTGCTTTTGATGCTAACCATCATCTAGTTTCATTGCTGATCATGTTTTATTCAGCAGTGTGTGTGCGTGTGTGTGTATATGTGCACGTGTACATCCGTATAGATGGCGCAGGTGCGTACAGCCACGTCAGGTCAGGTGTCCTCTGCTGCTACTCTGCCTTGTTCCCTTGAGAAGGATTTTCTCACCGGACGTGGAGCTCTGTTGCCCAGCAGTGTGGGTACAGACATGTGCGCCTATACCTGGCTTCTTATGTGGATGCTGGGAAGTGAACCTAGGTCCTCAGACATGTAAGCACTCTTGCTGAGTGCCCTAGCCCAGCACTTACTTCCCCAGCCTGTAGACGGAAGTTTCTGTTCCACCTGGTCCCCTGCAACTGTTCTGTCCCAAAGAAACACACAGAAGTCCTGCCTATGTATGTATGTATGTATCTACCTACCTACCTATCTATAGCTCAGGCTTATTGTTAACTAACTCTTACAACTTGAATTAACCCATAATTCTTATTTATGTTTAGCCAGGTGTCTTGGTATCTTTTCTCAGTAACGCATTCTCATCTTGATTCTTCTGCATCTGGCTGGTAACTGACTTTGTCTTTCCTCTTCCCAGAATTCTCCTAGTCTGGTTGCCTCACCAAACTTCCTGCCTGGCTACTGGCCAATCATTGTACAGAAGCATTGTCCCACAGCACCAACCCTTATTTAGCAATGTGTCTTACCTCTTTATCCATTTCTTTCAAAAGATCCCCATTTATTTCCCATTTTTTTTAATGGAGGATTTTGAACCCCTTCCCTGAGTAAGGGGCTTTGTGCTTCTTCTCTAGTTTTGCTGCTGTGCACCAGCTACAGTAGTAACCCTTTGTGACCTGTGAGAAATCATAGACCATGCTGCTCCAATACTTAGAAGATTAACTTAAAACAGGTTCAAGCAATCTAGTAACATTTTTAGATCTGTGTATTTATGGAGAGATGGAAAATAATTGCTTGTTTGTTTCGTATTGTGTAGCCCAGGCTAGCCTGGAACTTAATGATCCTCGTGTTTCAACTTCTCTAGTAACTGGGATCATGGGCCCACGCAACCAGGACCAGCTCGGATGTAGTACTGGGGCCACAGAAACGCCTCTGAGTCCTGAAGTGACTGTGATGTCCTGAAATGTGGGGACACAGGATCAGAAGGAAGGCACGGCATGAGCTCACGATCAGGGCGGATTTCTCAGATCAAACCACAGCATCTCACCATACTTCTGAGCTCTGACTTTGAAGTCCAGGGTAACTTCTTAGCTGCGAAGGCTCTGTAAGCCTTCGGTCTTGTCTTTTTATAGAAAAGTTGTTTATTATTATTTCTGTCCTGCCCTTTAAATGTTCTTGGAAGCTGTGCGCTGGGGAAAACTCTCCCAAGGACAGACTTCCTTATGGTTCCCTAGAGAGAGCTTCCTGCCCATTCTCACAATGTTTCTCTCAGCCTCGGTCTACTAATTTTAGTTTGCTCCAGCCTGTGGCTTCCTGCCTCACTAGGAACGCATTCCCCAGCCAAGTCCTGATGTCCCCCAGTCTTCTTTGTAACTGTCACTGAGGAACGCCTCTATTTATGGGACACTCCTTCCAGTGTTAAGGGCTTTCAGCCTTCTGGTTAATGTTTCAGTCCTTTCTGAATCTGGCTTGGTTGTGTAAAGATATAATCTGTAAGTGCCTACTCATTCAGTAGATGTTGGTTGTCTACCTTATTAGTGAGCATAAAGCTATCAAGACTAATTTGTGTTGCTCAGATATTCTTGGGTGTGTAGTCTTCCCCTGAAATACAATCAACTTACCAGGACACACTAAGAGATGCCCACAGCTCCACAGCTCATGCCCAGCTCCCACCTCCGTGCTGGAATGTGATCTGTCAAGTGTTGTGTGTGTTGTCAGGACTCTTGTGAGTTCCTATGTGCAGCTGCCTGCCCCGCTGTGTCCAGAAGTCATTGTTGCCTTGGAGCCACCCACTGCCTCTGGCTCTTAGATGCTCTGGTTCCCTCTTCTGCAAAAACCCTTAAGAAAGGGTGATGCAGTATGTGTGTTCCATTTAAGGCTGAACATTCTGCCGTCTCTTAGCCTCTGTCCCTTGTAGGTCTCTATGCAAATATCCAGCTACTGTAAGTAGAAGCTTCTCAGATTAGGCTGGAGAGGTGCACTGATCTATGGGTACACAATAGATCACTAGAAATACTATTTCCATTAGGAGAACCATACTAGTAGACTCTCCCCCAAGGCCTGTGGCTTGTCCAGCCATATGGTCTTGGTTCAATAATTGTGCTGGATATGGGTTTTATTCTGTGGAACAGGACTTAAATCCAAGCAAAAAGTGATTAGTTACTCCCACGAAGTTCTTGCCTCTGTTGCACCAGCAGGCATGTCTTACCAAGTCAGTCGTTACTGTAGCTCACAGGGCTCACAGCTGGATGTGTTTGGTGATTACTTCCCCTCCGGTAGCATGCATAACACCTTTCTGCACTATGAAGGCTAGCCAGTAGGGTGTAGCCTCCAGATGGGCACCTGCTTGATTTCTCTATGTGGTGTCTGGCAGTAGGATCTTACCGTGAGGCTCTGGAGTGTAACTAAGAGCATTGGCAGTAGCCTGTCATGTTGAGGATCTGTGGGATCTCATCAGCCATCAGCTTCTAAAGAAATAACCTATTCCTGGCTGTGATTTTTATTTGATAGCTTTTAGTATCTAGTAGGAACATTGTGTTGTCCTGTTAGAGGCAACTACACTTTAAGGTGTGTTAAGTTTCTATAGTATTTGGTTTCCATTTGACTTCTTTGAAAGATCTTTAGTTATCTTCCCCATACTCCCTCTTCTACCCTGCCCTTTGCTCCCCCCGCCCCATTTAATCCTTCCTGTTCCATTATTCCCTTTCGTAATCCTGTGTCAGTGTGCTCCGCAGTAGAATGTGCTGGCAGGGAGCGCTGTGGAAGGGCTCCTGTCTTCTTCCACTCTTCACAGTGAACCCAAAACGGGCTCACCAGCCCATTTTAACCCACTTACCAGAATATAGCGAAAGAGAAATGTTTTCTGTCCTGTAGACTTTTCACATAGTATGAAATAAGGAAAAATTACAGATTATTGTTCACGAATGGGTAATTTTTCTTAAAAATCAATCTGAGTCTACTCTGAGCAAATCCATGTACTAAGAGTATCCTACACGCACTACCTCGTTAAGTAATTTTAACTGGTTTATTTCATATCACTTTGAAGTAATTCTTGAATTTATACTTTATGCTAAGACTCACCATCCTCAGATTCTTCTTTTTTATTTTTAATTATGTGTTTGTACTTGTTTCTCTGTGTGTGGATGTGTGCATGTTAGTTCTGAGGAGATAAGAAGGTGGCCTGTCCAGAGTTACAGACAGTTGTGAGAAGCCTTGCCCAATGAGGATATGGGTGCTGGAAATTGAGCTTAGATCCTCAGCAGGCACAGCATATGCTTCTGACCATTGAGCCTTCTCTCTAGTCCTTCCCAGGACACACTTCCCACTGTATTCTTCTAAGAAATTCTTATAACTTGCAAGATATCTATGTAGTGGATCTGGTCATTTATGCAAAACAATGGCTTCAGCTTTCCCTGGGCCAGCCTGCAACCAGCTGCTCCCAGTGCATGGCTTGTGTGTCCAGCAGCATTGCTGCTGTGCGCTGCTGTGCTCTGTTAGATGCTAGGCTGCAAACTGTCCAGCCTCCCAGACCTGCTCTCAGTGTCAGGGCAGCTGAAACATGATCATTCCTGGAAACTTCATATTTGGTGCTGCAAGAAGTGCTTGGAGGCCGAGAATCAAGTAACTGGTGTTGTTCTTGTAGAGGGCGGATATTCCATATATGCTAACACCAGAGGACTTTGTCTTCTGTCTGTCTTTGCCCTGTAGGTGACCTTTATGGAGCAATAGGCTCTCCGGTGAGACTGACCCGCACAGTGGTGATCGGAAAGCAGAAGGATTTGGTCCAGCGCATCCTCTATGTTCTGACCTACTTTCTCCGCTGTTCGGAACTGCAAGAGAATCAGTTGACCTGGAATGGGACTCCTAGTGAGGATGACCAAGTTATAAATGGGAGCAAGATTGTAACGGCCTTGGAAAAGGGAGAGGTGGAAGAGTCTGAGTACGTGGTCGTCACGGTGAGAAACGAGCCTGCCCTTGTGCCGCCGGTCCTACCGCCAGTGACCACGGAGAGGAGGAGCCCGGAACCTACAGGAGTCGCCGAGGCCCCAGAGGGCGTGCATACTCATGATCTGGGTCACGGTCCTGAGAAAAGCAAATGCAAGGGGCCAGAGCAGAGTTCTGAGGCCAGTAGTGTGGGATTCCGAGAGGTAGAACCTGACAGTTCCTGGACACCTCAAGGTGTATTCTGTGAGGACAGCCAGGATGATCAAGAGGCACCCCAAGATGTGCCTTCAAGACCTCCCAGCTGTGAGGTTCCCAGGGTAAGAGTGAGGATGGATCCTCGAGCTGCCCATGAGGAGCTGCGACAGACTGCAACCGACAGATCGTCCGCCTGGCCCTGCCCGGACAGACGTTCCCAGGAGGAGCCTTCTGTGGAAAAGGTCACTTTCCACATTGGAAGCTCCGTCTCTCCAGAGTCTGACTTTGAAAGCCGCACCAAGAAAATGGAGGAGCGGCTAAAGACCTGTGGCCGATTCCATGGGACTAGTGCTTCCACCAAGCCTAACATGGACACCGACCTGGCTCAAGACCAGCAGGGCTCTAGGTGTTCCTCCAAAGCTGACTTTCAAAGGGCCACCGCCCTTCCTCAGTACCAGTTCTCAGGGGGAGAAGGTGTCCCTGAGGGCAGACACCTCCAAGCCAACATCGTGCCAGGCCCTGTGGGACAGCTTAGCCAAGCTCAAGCCTCCTCCGAACCTTCTAGCTGTGCAGCAGCCAGTGGCCCGAAACCACGGGAACACACTGGAGATGGGCAATTAGAGGGCAGGAAAAGACCTTCATCACAGCCTGTAAACACATGTAGACAGCAGGGTGGCCTGCTGGGTGCTTCACATGTCCCCTGTGGGGATGCCAGTGGTAAGGCCCACTTCAGGATGCAAGGAGACATTCCCAGGAACGAAAGCTTGGATAGCGCTCTCGGAGACAGTGATGATGAGGCGTGCGCATTAGCCCCGCTAGACCTAGGTCACAGTTGTGACAGGACTGAAGGGCCCTTGGAAGTGGAGCTGCCTCTGCCAAGGTAACACTGTCCGGGGAATTAGAGTCTGTCCCCAGCCTGACACTGTGACCATGGTAGCTGTCCACGACAGCTTTACACGCAATAATGTTTTTTCTTAAATATTAGAGGGATCGCCAATTACTTTCCAGGGGGTCCCAGCCTGTGTGGTCTCCAAGGATGCTCACAGTCTCGGTGCAGCTATGTTTTTGGATGGAGGACTGGTGATTGGTTGTCTTTGTAGCTCTTGAGACATTTTGGGGGCATGAAGGGCCACAGCAGCCACGGTAGCAAGGAGGGGAGAGCGCCATCTGGTGTCATACCCGCCATGAGGCTCCCCCGTCACCTCACACTCTCGTTAACACTCCATTGGCTTGGTCCTTTGTTCTGTGGTGACTGAAAGTTGCAAATAAAGGTTCCTTCTAGTCTTCCTCACTGTGGTGGACACCTCCTTCTGCAGATAGGTCAGATTCACGGAGCCGTGCTTTGGGCACCGTGATGCCCAGCTTCCTCTTTCTTGCCTCTTGACACTGGCATACTGAACATTGGTCGGATGCTCAGTGTGAGGAATAAGATCAGATCCCTTGGGGTTTTTTTTGTTTTTGTTTTTTGTTTTTTAAGACAAGGTCTCACCATGTAGCCTAGGCTGGCCTTACGCCGAGAGGATGCACCTCCACATCTGGCTTAAGAATGAAGTTTTTACGAGCCATAAAAAAAGTCTATTTTTTTCCAGGCATCCATTTTAACTAAAATAGTTCCTTACCTCCAAAAATCCCCTCTTTGCTCACATTCATGATCTCCGTCTAGACTCTTATATGGGCTATAGGAGACTATGGTATTTTCTGTATCATTGGAGGCTTTGTTCCCACCGTAACACAAAAGTGAGTGCTTCTAACTATGTATGTAATCATTCACATGTTGTCTCAGGTCTCAGAGCACCAGCAAACCAAGCGTTAGAAATTTTGGCCGCTCACTCCTGGCAGGTTACTGCGCTACGTATATGCCGGATTTGGTGCTGCATGGAACCGGCAGTGACGAGAAGCTGAAGCAGTGCCTGGCAGCCGATCTGGTTCACACGGTGCATGTAAGTGACCCCGGAATAGAACCGCTGGATGGCCAGCAACGGGCTTTTCAGTTACCCGGAAAGCACCAGCGTAGAGGATTGCTTGTTGCTGTGGGATAATGTTCTTGTACCCTGTAACGATTCGTCAGTCGTATTGTTTTGATAAAACGCTAATTGGCCAGTAGCCAGGCAGGAAGTATAGGTGAGGCAACTATTAGGAGATTAGGAGAATTCTGGGAAGAGGAAAAGCTCAGTCTGTAGTCGTCACCCAGACACAGAGGAAGCCAGATGAGAATGCTGCACTGAGAAAAGGTACCAAGCCACGGAGCTAAACATAGACAAGAATTATCTTGTTATTGTTAATTAGATAATTATTAACAATTAATAGCAATAATTAATTATTATTAGATAATTATCGAATTATCTTGGGTTATGTAAGAGCTAGTTAATAATAAGCCTGAGCTAATAGGTGAAACAGTTTATAATGAATATAAGGCTCTGTATGTTTCTTTGGGACTGAACGACTGCAGGACCAGGCAGAACAGAAACTTCAGTCTACAGCTTGTTAGACACAGAGTAACATGACAGCCAATGAGACGTAATTAAGAGTCCTGGGACGGTGAGCATAACCAGGCTAGACTCAGCAGAGGGAAATCAGGTATAGCAGAACTGCAGGGTCCTGGAGCAGGAAGAGGAAGGTGGGGCATCCGACTGCTGGCTCTCTCCTCCACCCTCTAGTTTCTTCTGCCAGAGGCCAGAGAGCAAGGGCACAGCAAAGGGCACAGCTAAGATGGCGCCTTTCCATTGTCCACAGAGGTCAGCCTCCTGGGGCTAGAACGAAGGTAGAGTAGAGCAAAGAAGGGGTGAGTGGCCATGGGCTGGGCTGGCCTGGCAAACAGATGAAGGACACGCATGGGGAGTGGCAGTGGCATGTCTTCAGAGGAAGACCAGAGAGGTGTTTGTACGGCTTGCTTATAATTCAAACCTTGCAAGTTTCTAAAAGCAGTTTTTTAACTGGTTTGCCATTGAGCTCACTTTGATAGCTGGGAGGAGGTAGCTGTAGAGAGGTTTACAGGTATGACTGGGAGATTGCCTGTAGCTCCTGCTGAGTGTTTTTCTGTTATCTACAGCGTGACAGGAGCTGAACACGTCTGAAAACCATGTCAGTCTGATGGACCTGTTTTTAATTGAGCTGCTCGTCAGCAGATGTGCAAGCGTAGATGTTTTGCAGTTAGAAACATATGGTATCTTGGTCTTGGGGACCAAAAGGACCCTGTTGCCTTACGTGTCGCTACCTCCTGCTTGTATCCTCGTGTGCAGAACCCTGGGGTGTTTGCTTACTGTCGTGCTGTTGGTTTGATTCCTAAGGACTTGGGTTTCGCTCCTTGCACCTTTTCTCCACCAGGCCTGAGTTCTGCTTCTGATAGAGGCAGGAGGAGACTCTGGGAGCTTGTGGGGTTGTCCTCGGTGACACTGAGCATGTCAGCTGCTGCACGCTTTGCCCAAATGGGCTCAGGTTCTCTTACCACCGTGGAAAGTAACCTCCTGGTTGGTAATCACCTCCGACTTACCCCTGACACAACTCGGGAAATTTTGACATTTTTATGGGCCATCAAGGTCTAATTTCTAAATAACAGATTTTTCATTATGAGCATCTGGCTCTGTAATTCCTGCATTTGAGAAAATAACCACGTCTGCACTCATTCCTCTGAAAGTTTTTCCATGTTTCATTGTCTTCCTTTTAAAAATAGCATTTTTACACTCTATCGGCTCGTGTTTCTTTAAATTATAAGGTCCTCTTGAGGCTGAATGTTATTATGTACAATAACCCGTATCGTGTGATGTGGGCATATACCAAATGCAGCCATGTGCATGGTGTTGATAGGAAACTGTAAAGGGCTCATAAGAATACCTTCAAAATTTAATAACTTCATAATATGTCTAGTTAACATTAGTGGGCTTCCAATCTCACTTGACACATTCCTGAGTTTTTGCTTTTGTTTGTTTGTTAGTTACAGGGACTCACCTTGGCTGGCCTGGAACTCACTCTTTAGATCAGGCTATCCTAAACTCAAGAGATTCCCCTGCCTCTGCTTCCCTTGTGCACGGCACCACCATGCTGCTGCTGAGTGTGATTTTGACGTGGACTCACACGTAGACCGCCGCTCAGACTCACACTGTTGTGTGTGACAATGTTCTGTTTTGACTGTAGAAGGGATTTCAGTTCCATCTACAAAGATCTGTGGGAAACAGGGTACTTGTAAGAACCCTGGTGAATTGTCCACCCATAGGGACGGTGACAGTCAGAGCTGAGGGGGTGCAGGAAAGGAAGCAGAGCCGAGAGAGCGATGTGGAGGCTGAGGACCTGTGGGAGAGAAGGGGGTGGATCACTGGGCGCCTCTCGCTCTCACAACCTGTTTTGAGGAGTCTAAATAGTTTCAGTTTCTTGCCACGCTTTGAAGACTCATAATTCCTTTTAAAGAAAGATTCTGAATAACTTTGCAAAGCCATTGATGAAGGTTATTGATCTGTTTTCTAGGCTTCTCCGTGGCTGAGATGATAAAGTCTGGCCTCGTTAATGCGCATTGTGTAGCCACAGTAGTTTTCTTTGGAGCATGAGGAAATTTCTTTCCAGAACATTCGACATCAAGGGTGTCTTTTTCTCTTTTTGTTATCTTTGTTGTATCCGGGTACAGAAAACCTACCACTGGTCCCTCTGAAAGAGGCTTTTTGCTGTTTCTTTTTGTGGCTTTCATGACTTTCGTGCACTAAGATTGGGGTTCTCTCTGGCTGTTCTAACTAGTGCTCTTTCTTCAGTCTATCACCGGAACCCGTGCCTCCTAATTCACGTTACTCAGCTTTGCTTCTTTTTTTCCTGTCAGCTATAACTACGTGTGCTCTTCTCTTCGCTTTCCTTTCACTGTGAGTGGGCGGAGGACGCATACATAGGCGGGCAATGCTCGCACCCTGTGACCCTCAAGCAGCCTTGTCTCTCTTCTGCATCCTGTCTGCCAGTGAGCGCTGCCGCCTCGGCAGCGTGAGTGACTAAACCGGGGTCAGAGGTGGCCTGAGAGACGTCAGCAGCACTGGCGGGGGTCTGAGTCCTGGCATGACTCACTGCGACCTTCAAGAAAGGCGCAGGCGGCACCATCCCACCGAGGAGGATGTTGGAGGACATGGGAACAGGGAAAGGACGGTGCAGTGGTTCCGAGTTTGCTTTTCAGATCAGCTCAGTAAAAAAGTGTTTGCCACGTGAGCATGAGCAGTTGTGCAGTCTCCAGAACCCAGGCAGAAAAGCTGGCATGTGTTTAGAATCCAGACCTGGGGAGGCAGGAAGATTGTGGGGCTCACTCCTTACTCCCGGTCAGGCCCACTCTCATTAATAAGGTCCTTTTGAGAGCACATGTCTCAAAATACAAGATGGATGTACACCTAATATTTGACCTCTGGCCTGCCTGTGAGAGGTTGGGCCTCAGAAGAGGCAACCTAGGTTTGAATCATAGCTCGGTTCCCAATGCCTTTGTGGCCTTTGGGGGAAGTTTCTATTCTATAAAATAAACTGTGCCAATGTCATTTGAATTTGAAAATTCTATAATCCACATCGAGTGTTGAGCACAGCGCCTGACGACTAAAGGGCAGTGCGCGGTAAAAGTTAACTATTAAATCAGGAAATGTGGGTTGGGCAGTGGGGGTGTATGGTTTTAGTCCCAGCACTCAGGAAGCAGAGGCAGGCAGATCTCTGTGAGTTCAAGGCCAGCCTGGTCTACAGAGGGAGTTCCAGGGCAGTCAGGACTACATAGAGAAACCCTGTCTCGAAAAAACAACAATAGACAAACAGGAAATGAGAAAGTGCCTCAAACAGTGAAGCAGTAGAGGCGTTCTCACAGGTAGACACCCTTAAGCAGTTAGCAGATGTTAGGAAGATGTACAGATGTTCCGCACACTCTAGTTCATGACAGCACCTGCTAGATTTGACTGAGCGGAGCCTGCACACAGATTCGCCCTTGGTCATGTCACAGGGAGCAGGCTGGGATCTCTCGCTGTGGAAGGTCATCAAGACCAAAATTAACATCATATTTTAGCTTAAACAAAATAGTGATCTAGGTTTCAGGCATTTTGCAGACTAATGTATAAATAGCAGCCTGCCCCGTTTAATTTTAAGAGTAGCAGCAGACTGACTCCAGAAATGTCACACAGGAGTCAGTAGCACCGATAAGAGCTTTGCTGAGCGCCTGGCCGTGGCGCATGCTCGTGAATACTAATTAATTCGTGTGGGCAACCGACCAGCTAGACTACAAAGGAACAGCCTGTCCCATCAGACAAGAAATCATTACTTATAGTACTCAGTGCACCAGGTCAGCAGCAGCCTTAGAATCAACAGGTTAGAAAAGAAGCAGTTCTGGAGGAACCCTGGTCTTTTCCATCTCTTTTGGTTGATGATGAACACACTGGTAACTTGGGGCAGCTCTGGCTTCTGCGGCTGTAGCCCCGCATGTGTTTAGAGGGCTTTTTAAGTGAAATGAGTTTTGTGTTTGTCTTCCTTCCTTCCTTCCTTCCTTCCTTCCTTCCTTCCTTCCTTCCTTCCTTCCTTCCTTCCTTCCTTCCTTCCTCTTCTTTCTGTCAGACATCATCTTACCATGTATCCCAGATAGGCCTTGAACTTGCAATTCTCCTGTTAGCTTCCCAGCTTCTGGTATTATACACATGTGTCACCGTGCCAATGTCACTTGCCTTTCCCCTCCCCTCACTCCTCCCCACATACTAGGCACGTGTTCACTGAGCTATACCTCTGAGTCTTTAACTACATGTTTTGCGCGATAGCTGAATTTTGATAACCACTTTTTACTAATAGAACTGAAATCCTTCCCCAGGGAATGAGGGTTGTTGTTTAGTGAGACCTTTGTATAGCGTGATTATATGTGTACATACATACATGTCAGTATGTATACACGTTCACCCATCTACGCTAGTGTGTGTCTCTGCATAGTTGTACAGTAACCTTGGAGCAGAAAACCAAGCCC